TTYSKTTTKKTWWKGKTKKYWTTWWYMAWTYMRSCMARRAMYTTTTTTTAATCGACGTTTTAAATAYTTTTATGTCTTCTCAATATTTTCATTTCATTTTTGATAAAGAAACTTAAACGATGCTTTTTGATTGGGATTCTTCTATTTCGCACATTAATCAGTAATTAAAATGAACCCCCAATCATAAATCCAAACCACTGAGGAAAACATATCGCATTTTTTACACGCAGTGAATTACTGAGTAAGTGCCACCTTAACTGTGAGCAGCATAATTTAGTAACCATTGGGCCTATTTTGCTATTCAGCTATTGTCTATTCAATCGGTTGAAGTACCATATTCTATGTAAAATTCAAAGAAACTCCTTGGCAATGTTAGAAATGTTAGAAGCGCCACTGATTTTACAACAAGAATCCTATTGTTCGMWATTAGAGTGAGAAAAGCTTCAGGGCCAGTTTCTCTAACGCAATAAAATAAGCCARTTTCTCTAACGCAATAAAATAATGACCTAAAAACATTCAGTTTATGAATGGGGAAATATTCCTTAACTAGCCACTAGTTTTCTAGCGCACAGTGTCAGCTTCGATTTTGCGTAGTAAAATATTCAAAAATTTTAACAGCCTGGAGGTTTTCAATAAGGTTGTTTTTGCTCAGGGTTGTCGGTGAACAAAGGTATTTTAAGTATATTTTTGTCGGCCAAACAAAAGAACAAAACTTATGGAATGATAGAATATTCGACGTCGAACTCCACTAAACCTGCTATGAATAACGTTTACCATCAAACAAGGATCAYCTAGAAATGCTTTGTTRTATACTTGGATAATTTGATSAASAGTTATTATTTGGAAAAGCAAATTTACRTCTAGTATTTGGAAAAAGCATACTTCGACGGCTGCTGTGTTGGCTWATTCTCGGACTATGTGTTACGTCATCGCCGCCATGTTGGATGAAAAAAACGTAGCATTCGTCACTGGCTGTACTTGTTTATTCAACCAACATGGTTGCAAATAGTAATAGGGCCAATACAACTACATGAAGATCATTTTGATCCAATCTACATCCCCTCATTAAGATCTTTTTTCATGATATCTAAAAAGTATTGATTTTTCCCCTCAGGTTCATTTATGGGTGCCAACCTCAAACGATATCAGTGAGAAGCGATGTAGAATGACCTTCGTTCGGAAAAGCATACCGGTTYTGCTACTGGTSCTTGTAATAAAGCTAGTAGTACTCGCACAGAAAGAACTAGCCAAACAAGGTAAACACTTCAAACAAAAGCAAAAAGTGGTTTTCTAGCGGGATAATAGACCTCTGAAGCTTTTACGTCGTACACATATACGCAATGCATGTAGGATATGTTTGGGACAGAACAAGGTGGATTTGTATTGYTTCTCTTCAAACTGATCCACAGTGCATTGAAAATCAAGTAGTGACGGAAACGTTTCAGAAGTGTCTTAAGCCTAGGACCAGGAGCTTTATGTTTACTAGAACACTCACCGATTGTATTTGTTTTGTTTAGATCCCAGAGAAACACACGAAAAACGACTCCTCAAAAACCTCTTCCAAAACTACGACAAAGAGGTTCGCCCAGTTTTGAAGAAGAACGACTCGGTGAACGTAGAATTCAGTCTTAGTTTAATTCAAATCATCTCAGTTGTAAGTATCAGCAAAAAATCTTCTAGGGTTGGGTGGAAATTTTTCAAAAGAAAAAAAAAAGATAGTAGAGAGGCATTCAACATTTATTTTTGTAAATAATTATCAGTGGCAGTGGTACTCTATCAAGAGGTCGACCATGGGATTTCCCAAAGCTTGTGGTCACTTAGTAGAGGTTGGCCACTGAATAGAGGGGGATAGAGGATAAACAGAGATATTGCGACATTTCATTGTAGCCGCCTAAAATAGGGGAGTAGAGTYTATCGTACGACTTCCATATATGGATGTCCATTTACATGGCACTGATGCACATATAGAAGGCTCCCTTGTCCGTATAGAAGGATCATTAATTATATATTCAATCTTATGTACATATACGTGGTCATTCATGCATGCCGTTGCATAAATGTCACAAAAGTTCAGGTTTGTTMAAGTGAATTGATCTCATGACTTAATGGTTAGGTTAAGGGAAAATACAGGGTTAGGCAATGCATAGTGCTGGTTCGAATCTTATGCGCGTACTTCAAAAGGCACTTGTTTACTTTCAGAAATCACTAAGATAAGCATATTGAATATAATTAATATAGATTATGCTGTTGTGCAACACCCGGAGGCATCCCCTTGTTCTCCACCCTTGTAGAGTATCTTATCTCTATTCGGTAATACTCTACAAATAACTTTGAATTTCCCAAACCTTCCTGACAAGGATAGAGGATTTAGATGAAMATTGTGTTCTTCTCAATATCGTGTAACTGTTCATCCATGTTAGCGTCGTGAAAATACAAGAATAATGCATTTGCT